TCGATAAGAAACCAAATACAATCAATGTACGGATTGTGAGGCCTTGTGGAAGCCAAACTTTCGGAATGCACAAAATATTCATTGTGTAACAAACTGCGGCTTAATATGGCTTCCAGAAATCATTCTTGGAAGAGATTCAAATGGGTACCCAGATTGCTTCGGATCCAAAGATGAGATTTATCCCATGGACTGAAACAACCTTTCTGTGTTGGACCATTGCCGTTTAACAACTGGTAGGATGCAAAGTCCTCTCTAAATGAAGACGAGAAAGCGAGTTTTGGGCACTCGGCTTTCACGCACTTTTACGCTAATTAGATAGTAGGGTAATGGCGGGAAGGGGAAGTGGCAGATATCCAAAACTAGTATTTCCTTCTCTGAAGACTGACCTTCGGTTGAAACACTTATGCATGGCTCCCTTTGAGTTTCATTGTCCGTGTACCTTCCCGGAGAGCTAAAGTACCAGAGGTATCGCAAGCCACACCACCTGGTCTTCATAGAAGAAGCGGCCATATATCATTTTTTTACCGTAATGGACATTTTAGAAAGTTAGGTCTTTTTTCCGGTTAAACGCACAATAGGTCATCCCAAAGAACCTGCAGACAGTCGTTTAGGCAATGGTCTTTCATACAAAGGAATCAGCCCTTGAAAAGCGGTTCGGCCTCCATGGCAAACCAGTTTTTTGTCGATATTACAAAAGCCGGTTCCCTACGAAAATCAAACAAATGGCATGCCGGTCTAAGGAATAATCGAGTCTCGGAATAATGGCAAACTCCTACAAACAGGGGATGTCAGGGAAATAATAAACCAGGGTTGGTTTTGAATATCCTTGACTGAAAATTTCTCAGGTACCCATGACTCCTAGAGAACCCAACTAGTGAGTGACCTAGTCGCCTCAAGGAGGAATTACGGGTATTCTATATGGTCCATTCTTCCAGATTCTGACTGAGCAAAGAACAGAACCATGACGATAGACCATGGAGTTCCTTGTAACACAAAACTTTAAACAAGTGTCGCTGTGTCTTTATCACTGTCACCATCTGCCAAGCGTTTGACACAATTTTGTAGACTAACATCTTTAGACAGCCGTGATGTCTACAATGGAATAGGCCAGAGGTTTGGATTAAGCTGCTGGCCTCTGAAACAACTTCAGCTTGTGGTTTCAGCATGATGGCTTCCTAACCGAGTTGTTCTGACAATCAGTGTAGTGATGACGTTGGCTGGCGGTAAAGGTGGCCTTGGAATTGCCGGTGTTATAAAGAAAGATCTTACTGTTAGTGAGTAAACTTTGGTGTTTTAATTCGTTGTTACCAGATATTGCAATAAGTACATCATTACTTTCTTGTACTGTCCACAGAAACCGTTTGCTCTATTATAGTAGTGGGTGGTCTTTGTTCACGGAAGGGGTTTTGGAAAACAGTATTGCATGTTATGTTCGGAAAGCGTAAGCCTGGACATTATGAATGCTGCCTAAAGTTGATATACGGGGCCAAGTCAACTGGCCAGATTGAGTGAAAAGATCAGAGATCAATCATTGCAGACTGCTGGTGAATAGTCCAGTCTGGTGATTAATAGATGAAGGCGTTCTTCAGTTGTGGAGTCAGATAAGTAGATAAACTAAGTCTCCGTTGATTGACGTACTTACGATGTTTTCTAATTGCAAGACAAAAGTGGAAGACGCCCTAAACACCGAGTAACCCCTGGCAACGTAGTTCCATCCTTACAGCCCCAAGACGGAAGCTTCTTATCACTCAGTACAGGCCGAATATTCAACCGAAACATGTTCTTTTTCTCCAGACAGTTTCATGTTTGACCTCAGGAGGAAGTCATGCACATTGTTCCATACCGACATCTTAACTGCCTAAGTTTTGTTACTAGAGCTGGATGGCAACCAAAGTACAAATTATTTCATGGACCTATGGTGAAGAATGTCTACGACGGAATATAAAATAAACGTATCTGCACACCTTCAAGATGCCTTGTCATCGATCGCAATACTAAATGCAACATCTTCGAATGCATATGACTTGACATTTTGTTTTATGGTTGCCTGTAGCCACCAGTGGATTTGGAAAGATTTGGAAGAACACGAAAACGAATTATTAGTGAGCGAACCGGCTGAGATTCCCATAAATACCGTAGTAAAGTTATGAAGTTGGAGTGCCTAATTCTGGGTTGTTAGGCAGCATCAAAGTTTGGGAAACATGGAAGGTGGATGTGGCATTTATGATGGAGAATGGCTTCATTACCAACATTCCACTAATCATATAATTTATTTAATGGGGCGTAGTCTGGTCCGGTCACGTGACTTCACACAGAGGGGTATTTTCTTGGGAAAGAACTAGTTGCTGAAAACCCTTCTATATTCGAAAATTATCGTACACTATTGATTTCGCTCAGTTTGTCATTAAGACCGGTGTAATTTGTGGATGGATGTGTTTCACCAACGGAGAGAGTTTAAGCAGTGGAACTCTAGGACGATCGGTACGGCGTCGAATAGGATGGTTTTGTAGCCTTTCGGGTTCAAAAAGTAATGCAGTGGTCGGGGACTTTTGTGCGGCGGTGAGAAATCCACGGCTGCACTTAATAAGTGATTTACATCAGCCCTTGTATCCGAAAATCTGGTTATATATTATATCCAGTGCTACTTTGCGAATGTGCTTGTTCACTGAATGAAGCTGTGATAAACAGACCGCTGACAGGCTCTTCGATTGTCCAATTCAACAGTTTGCCCCATGCAAGAGTACATGCTAACAGTGACGCAAAGCTTCCCCGCCGAAGAAATTGTATGCACACCCTAGATTGAAGTGTAGATTTTGAGACCCAACTGTGAAAGCCCGTCCCTAATTTCTACCCGAGATTTGCAAGAGAGATTAGTAAGAACATTCGACTGAAATTGTTGACGCCAGAGAAGGTTCAATTTACGGCAACCGGTTGCCCCAGTCAGACACCGTCAGCACGCTTCACCTGCCATCAAAGATGTTACAACTCGAGGTCAATCCCACAGACAATAAACAAATAATTTACTTCACCGGAAAGACACGTACAGTGGAACCTAGCCAAGTTTGTGAACTCCCAAGAAGTGGGAAAATTCAAGTGTCAGACAGTTGGAGCCAAAACACTCGGTACAAGAGTGGAATCTGACAAGGTGATTTTCAACCAGCAGGACAAACTGCGTTTGAACAACAAAAATGGCAACTGGTGTGATGTAGCTAACACGCATATCTCATTGATTAACACGACGCTCTACGTTATCCGAAGAACTAAATAACTGTCAAATCGGATTAATGCAGCGACGAATCTCGTAAGACTCAGCCGTAAACGAGTTGCGCCGTTCTGTCTCAGTATGAATTATCGAAAGAATGGAACTGTGAACACGTTGTTTCCGTCACAACTAACCCGGTTGCTCTTACCGTTAGTGCTGATTGCAAAGCCTGTCACAGAGAAGCTTAGGTCTATCTTGCGCATGGGAAATTCCTTGCTCGGTAAAAGATTTTTTCCACCTTATCCGCTAACCAGTTTGCTTCTTTGCTGCATCCCATGTGGCCAGATTTTTTCTGATACCTTCTGCAGCCACGTTTGTCCGGATGTTTCTGGTGGGGAGGGAGGACGACGAGCTACAGTCTGCAGACTACAAAATGTGTCAGAGATGCAGTGAATGGATGGTTACACACTGGCTGACCTAATTAGGGTATAAAATTTGGTACAGTTTATCCGTGTACCATGTTAGTTGGAAGAATTTCGGCGAATTACTGGCGAACATGCATGATCACCGGGATTTGTGCGGTTGGAAACAAGACGATTTCAGAAGAGTTCTGATTAACAGACTTCCGAAAGCAGCAACGATAATCTGTTCAGTCAAAGCGCAATAGACGGGAGGACAAAACCGTTTCCTGTTAGTATGTGAAGAAGAACTTTAACAATCGAGATGATCCGATCGCCTTTTCGTTCGTTCGTTCGTTCAGCTGTAACACCCTTTCGGTGCCTAACTGCCATGCCACCTGAAAGAAGCACGAGGGCTAGGAGACTGCCATGTTGCTCAGGCTTAGAGAGGAGAAGTCGAGGTGCAGAGGCCGGGCTTGAACGACGGACCTTCCGGTCAGTAAATATATACTTTAACCACTGAGCTATCTGGCCTCCCAGTCAGTTACTAGTTAGTTCCTTTTTAACGCTGCTATAAACGTACTTTACTGTTGAGAATCCTTCTATTCTAACGGTTGGTTAGAGTGAAGCCAATCCACTTTGTTCCTCCCGAAGTCCTGCAGGCATTTTATGTTGGGTCATTTATTCTTAGTTGACACCATGAATGAAAGTCGTTATTGGATTTGTGAACATTCATACAAATTATTGCACTAGAGCAATCAGCTGACCAAGGCACTTTTAGTCTAAAGTCCATCGAAATTTCTCATCTTAATTATCGAGGTTCACTATTTGTTACGGGTCATGCTACCGTATTATTTAAAACAGTAATTCTTACAGCTATGAGCACCTTTTTCCTGCTCTACAACTCGAAAGAGACACAAGAACGGGATTCTGCTAGGTTTTTCAAGCCTAACCTGCGTTTGGGTTCGGACAACCTACCCTCAGATCAGTGGCTTTGCATCGCAGATAGAGCTACCTCAAGCACCAAACCGCGACCAACCCTCGGATGGAAGAGTTCTTGTCTCTGATACATCTCTATTTAAATTTGAATTACCTATCACGTAATGCTTAAAATAGAACTCTTTCAAGCATAACTTTAAGAGGCCATAATTGCGTGCTCATTTGACACGAGTATTGGCGGCCGCTTATCCAACCGAGTTGAGTTCACCTGACCAGCACGATCAGCTAACTAAACAGATATAAGGCTATAATGAGCACTGCTATGCTCAGAAAGCCCTGAATGTTTCTACTTACAGTGCACAATGTCAGTCTTCATGTATTGCATGACAATCCACACACGGTTCGACACTCATGAAGCGAAAATGCATTATCGAAGAAGGCAACGTTAAACCATGACTTACGGTCGCATAATGCTCTCCCACTTTGGTTAGTAAATCACAGTAGCTTAGCACTGTTTCTGGGGCGCCCCCACATATGACAACGTAGGTAGTCCAACAGACAAGGTCAAAGACGTTGATCAGCTGTATTCTCGTCTCTCTAACACACGAACGAACGGTGTTCAACGCGAGACTGATGCACCGATAAACCGCAGTCGCGTGGCTATCCAGTCACATGACACGCCAAGAGTTCAACGAATGATTGGTTCGTTCACGTCACACACGTGAGAAATGAGCGCCGTCGTAATGGTAATCCGCTCTCAACACAAATGAGTGACCGCTTTTCTCGACGGCTCCAAGCGACACTATCCAGGAGCCGTTTGACCACATTGGGGGAAACACACACGCGCGCAGCAGTCTGTGCTTGTCAGCCTACTTGGCTAACCTGTCTAGCCGAGCAGCTAGTTGACCAATCACGCTGCGCATACCAATACACGCAGAGAAGCACCGTTTTTTGCCTCTGTTGCTTTACCAGTGCGTGAGCGAGACGTCGGAGATGCATTCACTGGGTTATACACCGCTTGGATCGCGTGACGGGCAACTCAAGAGTAGTACAATGTGACAATCCAAAATGCTTCGCTTATCCATTCGTCTTGCGGTCCAGATGCTTCAGATCTAAAAAGCGATGTCCGAAATACACTCATTTGCAACTGAACCTGATGTTATCAGGAGACTCAACTGAATCCCAACTGAAGCTCTAATTCGTGCTACTTTTTAGCTGAATGTGCTGCACACATGTTGCCGCATATTTTGGCTGGAAAGATATTCAGGATGTTGAAGTACATTTCCTTTGCATGCTAGTTTGCGTCACTTGTAGCATCAAAAAAAGGGAACGGTGATTCTCAGGAGGAAGGAGTTCACAACAAGTTCTGTGGATAAAAGACAGAAGGAAAGATCATGAGCCGAAACCCAGTAAGCAAGGTTGTACATCACCAATCCTTATATATAATTCAATCGAACTGACAGACTCCGTATACTACTGTCTCAGGTGTCACGTGTACCGGTCTACAGAAAGGGCTGTGTCGCATGTTTGCCAGACGTGGCCTCTGAATAGATGATGTGAGGCGACTTCAGATTTTCGACCACCAACCCCTCAGAAACACTGCTGGTGTGGAATGGCGTTAAAGGAATCAGAAAGAGGTAATTAGAAGGCGGACATTCGGTTTTCTAGGAGGTCCTTCAGTCACGTAAGCGATCCAGCATCATGAACTACAATGACTCGATCATGTACTACTCATGTCGAAATACCGTCTACCGAGACGAGTGTTGTTTTCTGTGCCTCCTGCAGAAGAGTGCATACCGCGGGGTGGACCACGTATGAGTTGATGGAAAGGCGTGAAAAAGATTACAAGAGTTCGTGTGTTGTTATTGTGGTCCGCATTCCAGATGAATTCCTTGTGACCCCTGCTGCACTTGGTTAAAGAAATTGCAAGAAGTGGCAGCTGATCGATGCCACTATCGTTTGGGCTGTCAGTTTAAATGTGTGACTTTTGCCCAGTCGGTCTTCCGTCACTGGTTAGGAATCAGGCGAAATGACTGAGAGAACATACAGAGACAACATAAAATGTGAAGAACAACTGACAATGCAGGTTACCGAAATTAACAAGAGCAAAATAGTGGAAGTCGCCATTTTACAAGGCGGGAAATCTCAGTGACAAAGCACGTGTTTTTGCTCAGACTGCCATGCTTCAGACTGCACGCCGACGTTCAGTCCAAAATCCACGTGTCGTCTGAGTTGGAGCAGGATGTGAGGTTAGTTGCTCCGCCCTATCAGAAAACAACTTTTTTTTTTTTTAGACCTCTTTCTCAAACGTTAAGGGTTACGATTCATTCGTAATCCACCCGCCAGCCTAGTTAGACAGGCAATATTTTCAACGTTCTCTCTGACACCCACTCTTCAGTCATTGAAGGCTCGTTAAGGGTTACGATTCATTCGTAATCCACCCGCCAGCCTAGTTAGACAGGCAATATTTTCAACGTTCTCTCTGACACCCACTCTTCAGTCATTGAAGGCTGATATTGTTTTTGCTGCACCGCACATTGGATATTTTATATCCTGGGCTTCTAAAGTAAATGGCATAAATGACATCCATATTTCGAACCACACATTTGTCTAGAAGTGGTGTTAAAGTGAACACGCGCACATTTCAATATATGATGGTTCTGAGTACCCATTAGGAGTGATTTTTCACCTTAATGGGAACTAAAGCTTATAAATCAACTAGGCTCAATCTGAAAGACGAACGAATCAACACCCATTTCAGAAGGGTTCTGTGGGCAATCGGTAGTTTCCCAAGCCCTTCTGATACACAATTTCTCAATCGTTTCCAATTCTTTTCCAACTGATTAAGTTAGATCAGTCATCAAACTGCTTCAATTTTACAATGTATTTTAGTATTTCGAGCAATGGAATAACAGCTGTATAGATCTAATACTCTTTTGTACATCGTAATTTCTCATTTGCTTCGGACCAAAATGGATAACACTCAACATTGTATCCTCAGTAATTGGATTGTATTCATGGCTGTCCGAAAATCATGTAAGTAATTACTTAGGACCTTGCCCCAATTGTCCTTTTAAGGTGAACATTTTCCTTGCAATCTTCAAGCTACGGACAATTCGTAAAAATATTTCTCTTTGCTAGTGTGGTTTTATTTTTGCTATTTTGGAGGCCAAGGACTAAAAACTCTCCAATGCAGTGAAAAGAGCCGACAAAAACATCTAACGCTGCTTCACTGAGGATGCCAAAATCCTCTACGGGCCAGGGTGCCATACCACACGAGGACATCCCCTATAAGGGCTATGAAATCTTCATTCCCAGTAAGTAAACAGGTGTAGTAAGGCGCTGAAGCATCGGTGTTGAACACTGATGTCATGCTGTCGATGATGATGATGATGATGACGATGATGATGATGATGATGATGATGATGATGATGATGATGATGATGATGATGATGATGAAACAGGTGTAAAGGATAAAGCCTGGAGGCAGATGACAAGACGCACTCAATACGGTTTTTGATGAACTTCCTCTGAAAAACTCGCACAGCTTGCTGTCAGTTACAGAAGATGCTTCACTCAAAAGAATGTTTGGATGATCTGCTGTTATTCTTCGGAATTTTTTTGCTGCGGCTCAGAGACGAGCTTGACAAACAGATTCGCAGGACTACCTACCAGTACTCCCAACGGGCTTTCGATGAACCAGATGATTCGCGAACTGGGACAGACACTCAAAGGGAAGGAATAATTACATTTGCTCAAGGTTGACATCATGAACTTCAGAACTGTGGCTTGTAAGCCAACACGGAAGATTCAAGATCACTCTATGGGCTCCCTTCAGTGTTTTTAGCAAACAGAGTACACGGGGAAATTTTCAAATTCCATAAATTCTTTTTTGATGCACACAATAAAACAAGAATCAAAGAAAAGCAATTTCTGTCTGCATAAAGTTAAAAACGGCTTCGGCGACGTTTATTTCAACGTCTAATCTTTTAGTAATGCCACAAACTCAAGCGCAACTTCAGAATAATATATTTGTGTTTGAGATCTCAGTTTACTACTGAAGATTAAAGCTTTGCTGAATGAAACAAACCGATGGAAGAAGTTTGAACGCACAGAATCCATCGGATTTGAATAGTTTGCATTAGTTTTTATTTGTTTTGTGCTCCCCATCTGAAGCTGGACGCTATATTCCCGAAGAAGTTTCGAATAATGAGGCAAACTACTGTAATCTGGATGTAAAACATGGAACATTCAAACGTAGTGAAACATTTATTGGTGTTCTCTTTCCTTCCTCTCATTTTGGATGTCACGACACAACATACGGAAATATAACGATTTGAATACTGGCTCAAACAATTGCGAAGTTCTATAAATGTATCCAGGTTTTTCGACAGTTTTACTAGGAGCGCACACACGTCTTTGAGCATTTTCGGGCTGATCTTCTGAATAATGGAACTGTAGACAATCAACAGTCAAACGGAGTCGGTGTGGTCCAACTTTTGCTAAGCGCATTGATCCCTGAACTTAACACTCACATGATAACGAGACATTCATGGGTTGATGATTTCAGATTGCCAGTCTTCTTTGCCGGCTTATCGTGAACATCTCGAAAATGAGTGAAGTGACCTTCGTAATCTCCGAAATTCATTGATTGCTTCCGCCTTCACAAGAGAGTTCTCTAGACGGAAGATTGACCCATGACCGCTCGTTTGTACTTTAATCGAGATTGTCTCAGTGACTCACGTGACTGCTGAAGTTTTCGGTTGCGTAACGCGAACCAGAATAATGAATCATGTAGACGGTTCTACTTTTGGGCGAGAACAGTTGACTCAGTTTGAAAAGTAGCTTACTTTGGAATGTCGGAAGTAATGAACGTGACACTCACCAGAAGACTCCACATTTGTTTCGACAAAGAACAATGAATGAAAACAAAGCCTGGCGGCTGTCAAAAGAATCTACATAAGTTGGGAGGATTCGGTACTATGAATGCTCCTATTGAAAGAGAGTACCAGAAAACAATCAAGCACGACTAGGAGGTGTTACACCATAGAAATAATATTTTAGTGCAGGTATATAGATTACAGCTTCCATAACGGAACCTTTTTTTACATGTGATCCAGAAAAATTTCCTCTGTAGCCTTCACTCTGTCTCCCTCCGCTATCAGTCATCAGAGACTGGAAGTGCGCTCTACCAGGCCTCAAACTGTTTGAGTTCCAAGTATCACTTTCACTCATAATCTAATGAAATGACAATCACTTTGATAAACGCATCTTCCTCTCCTTATTCAAACTAAAGCGTCAAAATTTCCAACACATCACTCACCTGGTTTTTCTCTGAGGTTTTTTGTGTGCTAAAATGTGCCAACCACCAAAAGTCCATCACGAATCACGGAAGAATCAGTTCATCTCATATTGCTCGATGTCCCCCATTAGATTTTAGTTTAGGGTAACGTTTTGCTCCTGTCAAACTCTCAACTCGACTTCCCCCACACACCCACG